AAATAAGGTATTAAATATACTACCAAGAGTGAAAACCGCTAATGAGATTAAATTTACGCAGTATTGAAACTACATTCTTAAATTTAAAAAATTTAGCAAGTTTGTAAGGGACCTGCACTGCTCTTAGATTTCTGACATTAATAAGATATACATTAGGGTGGGTCGAAAATAGGCTTTTCTCTCGGATCAACTTCTAATAGTGAAAGTATGTGTAAATGTTATTCAATTATTTTGAGGGTAAGAGCCCGCGCATCGCCGCCAAAGTTTGTAAATGCGTTTATATGGGAAAAATTGAATTTTTTGGAGTTTTTTTCATAAAATGAGGCTTTAAGAGTTAATTATTGCGCCATTTTATAGCAAAATCGTAATGTATACAACAATTTCTTTCCAAAAAGATAGAAAAACTCAAAATTGTTTAAAAAATTTTTGAGTTATTAAAATTTCCCCCGAGAATTTTGTGATTCTGAAGACACATACAAGTAAATATAAGAAATTTTTTTAGTTTTGAAAAATTTTACAAAAAAATTTTATGTTTATCTTTATAAGATTCATAAATGTGCTAGTACGAATTTTTGTTCAAAGTGGATAACGCTTACTTGGTTTATTATGTGTTCAAAAAGGGCTATGATTTTAACAGCATATCCAAAACTCCATTTCCAAAGTTTAAAAAATTTTGTTAAATGGATTTTTTAAAATTAATGTTTTCTATACTGGATAATATAAAGGATATATATAAGAATTAAACACAAAAAGAATGAGCTCAATACCTCTCATAGTTTTACCGTACCTGCTATGTGAAGTTGAAGGATTTCGCGAAAAAGACAATTTTTGCCAATAATTAAGTAGGGTAGAAGTCACTTTTTTTTTGAGGCGGCCTCAAATTAAAACCACAATACATATTCTTAATTTTTTTCTTGGTTCGGATACTTAGATATGTTGGCTTTAGTTTTATCCCTTTCAATCTTTCCTAAGACATCCTCATACACATATTTTTTTAACTTTTCCGCACTGACCAAAAACTGCGATACCGCCCCATCCATGGAGTAAATACGCCAAGGGGATGGGGCAGATTTGTCATTAGTAAAATAAGCCAAAAAAATTAAAAAGTAAAAACTTATTTTGCTGTTTTATATTTTAAATCACTAAACAAAATATAATAAACTAGATATTTATTGTTTATTTCACATAACTTAACAAAAAAAATTAAAACAAATTATTAATGATTTTTTCTATATTTTAACAAAATTTTGTTCTACATCACAAGCATTACATATATTTGGCGAATGTGCCCCACGGGCAGTTCTGGGGTTTAGTTTAAATTTTTTCGGTTTCTCGGTTTTCAAGTTATTCGCTTTGGCAGATGTGCCCCTATGGCGAATGATCCCCCTTCTACCCTAAACATTATATTATTACAAATTGTTGCTTAATTTTGATCAAGCAAATTGCGATTATTATTTCCAAGTCCATGGCAAGTTATTTTTGATAAAATTTCCGAAATTAAAAATCATTAAAAATCATTATCTGCGACCGAACTTAATTTTCTAGTGACATACTCCGTTTTGAAAAGTTGGGTCAAAATCGGGAGATATTGCATTTTAAAGTATAAACTGTATCTGAGGTGATTTTTGACTATTTACAGCCTGTTTTTCTAAAATGAAAATTTGCCTTCGTTCTTAAAAATAACGAATGAAATTGGCTTTACGTTTTTGTAACGAAAAAATAAATTTTCATGTGAGTGGCAACGAAAGAGCTTTATTTTTCCATATATTTTTGGTTTTTAGAAAATGAATTCGTTCGTAATAAACGACAGAACTGTCAGAAATAGACGATAGGCAAAGGCCTTTCGTTTGCCCAAAAAATAACGAAAATTACACCAAAATACGAAATAATATGTGGCCACTTGAACCTGAATGCAATTTGCAATAAAAACCTTTAAATTTTTTGAGACATTGCATACAATTTTCATGTTGTTTTTAAAAAAACATTTTTTCATAATTTAAATTTTTTTGTAAAATTATTTTATTTTTGTTTATTTTTACTACATGAAAAAATATTTAAAATTTCAGAAATTATATACGTAGGCAACAATGTTCTGTTACGATAGAAAAAGCTCATTTCATTATAGACATTTTTAAACGAAAACTTTCAAATGTTTTATAAAATCCTAATTTTAAACTTGATCGTAATAAAAAGTGAGATCTAAATCGTGTGAGATCTAAATTGTTTTAGAAAAACAGGCTGTTAAATTTAAAAAACAAAACTCACACGCACTTAAAAGTAAATAAATACATGAACTAGAGTCCACTTGAATTATTATGCATATATATTTAGCAGAGACTGAAAATAACGGGTCCACTTTGTTTTTATAAGGTTAATTGCTGTGATCACCATTTATAATTGTGTTTTTGCAGTTTATCACTGAGAGAAACCTTTATGTTAGATTTTTTTTGATAAGTGGTTGAGAGAAACCGAAAAGAAAAACAAAATAACTCGCTACAATTGATTTTTATTTTGTAAACTTTTTTGAAAAGGTCTGCTAATGATTTTTATTTTTAAAAGCAAAACAATAAATCGCAAATGTAAATACACGATTAGGGCACACATACACACATAATATCTGCAGAAATCATAGCAAACAACAACAATATACTCTCCCACTCTCATATAAGCAAGAGGAAAAAGGAATTCAAAACCCAAGTGCTCAGCCAAAAACATAAGTAACAAAACAAAAGTAGTAAAGGTTATACTAAACCATTTAAGTAAAAATCATTTTATAACTGTTATTCTGAGTGATTTATTTTAAAAAACAAAAATAAATCACAATTCATACACTTTAGTTATGTGGCCCAGTTATTTTCAGTCTCTGATATTTAGTTTTTATACCCACCATCAAAAAAGATGGGGGGTATATTGATTTTGTCATTCCGTTTGTAACACATCGAAATATTGGTCATAGACCCACAAAAGTATATATATTCTGGGTCCTCATTAAATTCTAAGTCGATCTAGCCATGTCTGTCCGTCTGTCCGTCCGTCCGTCTGTCTGTCTGTCTGTCTGTCTGTTGAAAGCACGATAGAGTCCCAATGGAAAGAGCTAGAGGGTTGAAATTTTACATAAATATTTCTAACAGGTAAGGTTTGTTTGGTATTGAAAATGGGCAATATCGGTCCACATTTTCTGATAGCCCCCATACAAGTGGCCCCTCGAAAAGCAGCTTTAACAGCCATAACTTGTTTAAAAATACGAATATAGCGATAAAATTCGGCATATGGAAGTTTCTTATGATCCAAAATCATTATGCAAAATTTTATGAGGATCGGTTCATAATTGACCCCACCCCCCATATAAGGTCCCCTTCAGAAAATGACTTTAACGCTCATTACTGGCTTAAAAATACTAGTATATAGATGAAATTCGACATAAGTAAGTTTCATACGAGTCAAAATCTATCTAAAAAATTGTATGTTGATCGGTCCATGATTGACTCTACCCCCCATATAAGGTCCCCTTTAGAAAATGACTGCAACGCTCATTAATGGCTTAAAAATACGAGTGTAGCGATGAAATTCGACACAAATAAATTTAATACGAACCAAATTCTATCTACCAAATTATATTAGGATCGACCCATAGTTGACCCTACCCCCTATATAAGGTCCCCTTCAGAAAATTACTTTAACGCTTATAACTGGCCTAAAAAATACGAGTATATAGATGAAGTTCGACATAAGTAAGTTTCATTCTAGTCAAGCGAGGTTTGATGGTGGGTATATAAGATTCGGCATTGCCGAATATAACACTCTTACTTGTTCATAATTAGGTCGTATATCTATGCGTGAAAACTTTTTACAAAATTTAAAAAAATAAAATATCACCTCACAAAAGTTCATACTTTAAAACGCAATATCAGCCGATTTTGACCAAACTTTTCAAAATGCCACTGTGTTTTTTGACATACAGTGTTATTGGCAAAAATTGCCTTTTTCGCGAAATCCTTCAACTTCACATCGCGTTTTTGACCACAGACTAAACCGAGTAAGCGTTATCCAATTTGAACAAAAATTCGTCCTAGCACATTTACGCATCTTATAAATTTAAACATAGTATTTTTTTTTGTAAAATTTTTCAAAACTAAAAAAAAATTTCTTAACCTAACCTAACCTACTTTTATGTGTCTTCAGAATCACAAAATTCTTGGGGGAAATTTTAATAACTCCAAAATGTTTAAACCAATTTTGAGTTTTTTTTATATTTTTGGAAAGAAAATGTTGTATACATTACGATTTTGCTATAAAATGAAGAGCCTCATTTTGTGAAAAAACTCCAAAAAGTGTAATTTTTTTCCCATATAAACACATTTACAAATTTTGCCGGCGATGCGCGGTCTCTTACCATCAAAATAATTGAATAATATTTTACAGTCTTCCATTTGATGTTAAAATACAACATAATTTCACTATTAGAAGTTGATCCGAGAGAAAAGCCTATTTTCGACCCACTCTAATATACATATCTTGCGTGAAATTACTACACCAATTAAATACCGTTGATTAAATTTAATTTGATTAATGCGCGCACATGGACTATTAAAAAAACGCAAAATTTTTGTTACATTGGTTTACAACTATATAAATTATAAGGATTTTCAAATGTCCAAAGTCTTGTGAAATTTTAAAAATCAAAAAAATTTTGAAAATCAAAAAAATAAAATATTTTATAATTTTGTTTATAATACATTTGTGATTGTAGAAATTCATTTTAATAATAAAAAAATCAACAAAAGAGTTTCCTTTATTAAAATAAATGTGAAGTTAGTGAAAATTGTCAAAATTTCATGAAATCAAAAAAGATTTCGTTTGGCACAGCAAAAGTGATAATATTTTCCACCATAAGAAAATTTTATTTTACCATAGAACTTTGCTACCGTTTGGCACACAGCCTTTGTAAAATAAATAAATATATAAATAGGTTTAATAAAATTTTTATTAAATTTTTATAGGAAAATTATTACAACATTCCTGTTTATAACTCAAATGGGATTTTGCTGCGTTTACTTTCTTTTCGTTGCTTTAAATGTGAAAGAAGTCGTAGATCATTATTTCATTAAATTGGATGTACACGTTTATTTAATGTTAATGCTTATACCAATGATCGTCTTAAATTTGGTGAAAAATCTAAAATACCTGACTCCAGTTTCTTTATTTGCCGCAATATTAACAGTGGCAGGCTTGGCTATATCCTTTTTCTACATGCTACAAGATTTACCGCACACGAGCACGGTAAAACCAATAGCATCTTGGTCGACACTACCCTTGTATTTCGGAACAGCTATTTATGCTTTTGAGGGTATTGGTGTTGTACTTCCATTAGAGAATAATATGAAGACACCTGAAGATTTTGGAGGAACTACCGGAGTTCTTAATACTGGAATGGTGATCGTAGCTTGCTTATATACATCAGTAGGATTCTTTGGATACCTTAAGTACGGCGACGACGTAAAAGGAAGTATAACATTAAATTTGCCACAGGATGACATGTATGGATAAAACTGCTTTTTGAAAACATAGTTGTATATATGTTAATATATTTTAATTTTATTTGCCTAATTACAAACTTAGATTATCGCAGTTGGTTCGAATAGCTATGGCTGTTGCAATTTTTCTGTCATATTCATTGCAATTTTATGTGCCTGTAAACATTGTAGAACCATATGTGGAGAGGCAATTTGAAACAGTCCGAGGAAAAGAATTAGCAGCAACTACTTTGCGTATAGTTTTGGTCACATTTACATGTAAGTAACAGATTTTAAATTTTCGATATTTCTGAACGTCTTAATCTCAATTGATTTCAGTTATTTTGGCTGCTTGTATACCAAACTTGGGCCCAATTATTTCGCTTGTAGGCGCAATAAGTAGTTCAGCATTAGCTCTTATTGCTCCGCCAATTATTGAAATTATCACATTTTGGCCTGTAGGCTTCGGTCGCTATAATTGGATTATGTGGAAGGATATTGGAATTCTTATTTTTGGGCTGTGTGGTTTTGTTTTCGGTACATATGCAAGTATAGCACAAATTTTAAATCCAAGTATAGTTTAATATGTCTCATGTTTAAAAAATTTTATGAAAAACAAACTTAAAATAATCACGAATTTCAGTGTTCTATTTAAAATATTCTTATTTATATTTTTAAAGTGGTGCATTTAAGTTAGATAATCTATTTAGTATTTTTAGCAGATGTTTTTTATAATAAGATTACCAAAAACTAAAATAAATAAAATCTCGCATTCTGTAGAGTATATTTTAAGTTTTCTGTGATCATTTTAATTAGTATGTATGTACTGCAAGCAATGTTTTTCGATTTTGTGATATCATATCTTTTTAGAAGGTGATCAGTGATCACGATGGTGTAATCATTTCTGTTTAAGTTCCAACACCTTCATCTGCATATCTGCGTCTAAAAGCATTGATTGCATATAATTACGCCAATATGGTTACTGATAAAATTAGCATGCATCTATGAATGAATGTTTAAACATTCAAGTTCCGTAAAGGTATCTTCATTAGTTGTAGGCAGTATAATATTATGCGGTAGGCAGTATAATACGTTAGGACTGATCGAAAATACCTTTTTTCTTGGATCAACTTCTAATAGTGAAATTTTGTTGTATTGTAATGTCTAATATAAATCGTATATGGATATAAATAACATGGAGTTAAAAACAATACAAGTTTTACAAAATAAGCGTCTAAAAATTGCGACTGAATGATATTTCATCTATTTAACATTAAAATACAATATATTTTCAATATTAGAATATTAGAAATATTCTCATAGTTTTAGTACTATTACAAAATCACAATTCAACTTCTATTTCTTTTCCTGTAAGTGTTTTTGACACATTTGCACTTATAAAAAATGTAGTTCGGTTTTAATTCCCCAGAATATATAACTTTTCGTTCGTACTTATTGTGCTTTATGTATAGATATTTAATTTATTATGAAAATAGAATTAAAGCCTTTTTTCCATTTTAAATCATTGTAAAAATTGTAATATAAGTTGTCTTAAAAAACTATTTATACAGAAATAACCTTGAATTTTTTTTAGTTAATATACCTGCAATATAAAATATTTGCTCTATTTTTATATAAAATTTAAAGTATAAAATGACCACTATAATTTTCTATAATTCATTATAATTATTAAGTATGTTTGCGAACTTCATAATATGTAACAATTTGTTACTGGATTCCGTTCATAATATATGCTTGATATTTGAAAATGTTAACAAACCAAAGAAAGTGAGAAATTGACAAATTTAAGAAGAGACACATCCGTTCATATTAAATTACCGTGTTTAATGCTTTGAAATAATTTACAACAATAATGAATTTTTTAACATAGAGAAATGCACTTAAATTACTGCGAATTACAATTTTAAAAATATTTTAAAAACTTAAAAACAATCAAATATTATATTTTAAAATTTTTATTTCGACACTACTTTTTATTATACCCAGCATCACAACTAGTAACCCGAAGTGTTTCAAATTCGGGTGTAAAACCTATGAATTTTACATTAGCGTGTCATTGGAGGGATGTTGTTCATTTTTGGCAACTTTGAACTACATCTAATCTTATTTTTAAAAGCAGTAAAAATCCGATATTTGGATGTCAAAAATAAAACACATTCTCTTAATGACACGCTTATGTAAATTTCACTACTCTTTCACCAAATCTTGATGTACTTCAAATATGTTATTTGTAATGACTTTTTCACATCTCTTTCCTCACTTTTAACTGGGTCTTCATTTGCAAGGAATATTTGATTTATAAAAGTGAAAAATATGTAATCGCATTTTAAGATGTGATTAAGATGTAGTTTGTAAAGTATGACATCAATTATTTTTTGCTGGGCCAGCAAAAAAAGTGTGGAAAAAGATGCAGTATTTTCATCACAACTAGTAACCCGAAGTGCTTCAAATTCGGGTGAAAAACCTAAGAATTTTATATTAGCGTGTCATTGGAGGGATGTTGTTCATTTTTGACAACTTTGGACTAATCTTATTTTGAGAAGTAGCAAAAATCCAATATTGGATGTCAAAAATAAACCGCATTCTTTTAAGACACGCTTATGTAAATTTCATTGATTTTTAATCTGTATTTGATGTACTTCGAATATGTTATTTGTAGTGAATTTCCAACAACTCTTTTCTCACTTTCAACTGGGGTTTCATTTGTAAGGAAATACTTGGTTTATAAAAGCGAAAAATATGTAATCGTATTTTTAGATGTGATTAAGACGTTGTTTGTAAAGTATGACATCAATTATTTTTTGCTGGGATAGTTGTTTATTTGTTCTGCATTTGTATTGTTGATTTATCTAATATTGAGATTTTAGCAAAGGAGGCATTACTAATATATTGCATACAATCAGAAACTTATAGGTTTATGCAAATTTTTATTTTTTAGGATGAAAGCATATTAAAAATTATTATATCATAAAGTTAATTTATAATATTTAACCGAGTGTATTTAATAGGTCCTCACATGTTGTACAAGACACATCTACAACAATGTTATGTTTTTTTTTAATTTATTAAAATCTTATTTATTTAAACTTTTTTTTATTTTATATTATACATACATAATTTGGCAATAACAAAACAATAAAAACATACAGCTTCATATTTATTTTTTTACAAACAAACAGACTAAGTACAACAATAATATGTGAATATGTATGGCGTTGTTTTCATTGTTGTTGTTGTTGTTGTAACAGTTCGACTGTGGCCGATAGTTCTTTCCTGAAATTAGAATAATAAATACTTAATTATTTGAGTTTGTGTCTGTGGGTGGAAGGGGGAGCTGGAGAAACTGCGCCACCTCAGTCGGTCTTAACCATAGGTCTATGGGGCGCAAATTTGTAGACCTAGCGGGACAATTGAATAAATGCACCGTGTCATGAGGACTTTGATGACAGGCTGGGCAACGATTTAAAGTGCCTGGAACGATACGTTCACGGTAGCAGTTGAGGAAACTGCACCAGCCGGCTCTTAATTGTGCCAAGATGGTTCTAGAGTGCCTGGGTAATTGTCTCTCACTGTCCGATATCGCAGGGGGGTGTTCATTTAGGACTCTGTTGCATCTGTAGCCATTAATGGCCTCGGTGACCGCCATTTGATGCAACATTTCCCGGGCGCTTGCAATTGACAGTCTGTCGACGTCCGATGGTATGACGTCTTGGATGTCGCTGCGAAAGCGTCGGAAGTCCATCCGGATGTGCCTGGGAGGGGGATCCTCCATCAGAATCTGATGGTTGGGGTGACTAGGCAGATGGCATGCCAACAGGAACTGTCTAGTCAACAACACATTATGTTGTCTGACTGACAGTAACCTGGTCTCCTCATGTAAATGATCCACATTCGTCATTTTGACACAACCGGTTGCGATTCGAAGTGCATTATTCTGAGCCGTTTGTAAACCTCGCCATTGGGTATCACTGAGGAAAGAGGTCCATACTGGGGCAGCATAATTGAGAAGAGAGCGACCAATAGCCTTATATGTCGCTACAATCGTCTCTTTATCCATGCCCCAAGAGGTGCCAGCTAAAGCTTTAAGGACCTTGTTTCTGTTTCGAACCTTTTGGTTGATGTAATTTGCGTGCCCTGCGAAGTGAAGGAGGCTGTCAAAGACTACCCCTAATATTTTCGGGTTTTGAACCGTGGGGATAGTACGTCCTTCGACAGAGATGTTTAGCGCCGTCCTTACTTCTTTGGTCCAAGAGGTGAAAAGTGATACCGAGGATTTAGAAGCAGATAACCTAAGTTTGCGTTCCTGAAAGAAGTCTGTAATGGTGGCCAAGTATTGGGTAATTTTGGCGCTTATGTCGTCGATATTGACACCTGAAGAAATAACGGTGCAATCATCTGCATACGACACCAACGAGACATCAGTGGGGGGTTCAGGAAGCCCGGCAAGATAAATATTGAAGAGTAAGGGTGACAATACTCCTCCTTGAGGCACGCCCATTTTTATCTTGCGGTATTTCGATTTTTGACCTCTAAACTCAACAAACGCATGTCTTCCACAAAGATAGTTAGCTATCCAGCGTTTGACATCATTGGGGAGTGTTGAGTTAGTGATGTCATTTATCAGCATCGAGTGATCGACCGTATCAAAGGCCTTGGATAAATCCAGGGCGGCGACGATGGTACGCTGACACGGCCGTTGCTGATTGAGGCCATTGGCGATCTGTGAGGTTATCTGTGTTAGAGCTGTTGTGGTGCTATGCGCTTCCCTGAAACCATGCTGGTGATTGGCGAGCGGGAAATGCTCTTTCAGGGTTGGTAGTAGTAGTGATTCTAAAATCTTTGCTACAGGTGATAACAAGGAGATAGGGCGGTAGGATTCTCCTTGAGTAGCGGGCTTGTCTGGTTTTAGAATAGGGATTACCCGGGCGACCTTCCAGATATCTGGAATCACCAATTGGTGAAGAGATAGTTCCAGAAGGTGGGTTAGATATTCCAGACCTACTACACCGAGTTTTTTTAGCATTAACATAGAGATGCCATCCGGACCAAGAGCTTTAGATGGTTTTGATTTGGAGATTATGTTCTCGACATCACGGGGGGTGAAGGAGTATGTCTGAGAGTCTCGGGTGAGATTCTTAGTTCTCCGAACTATAACTCTTTTGGCCCGACTCTGCGTGGCGGGGTGTTCGATAAATTGCCTGCAGAATTGTGTTGCGCATTTTTTGGCATCTGTATGCTGCAAATTGTTAAACGCAATAGCAGCGAGGTTTTGGTTTCTATTGTTGCCAGATAGACTTTTAATAGTAGACCATAGCGATTTAGAGTCAATTGAGCAATGGTTTAGATGGTCTAACCATTTGTTGCGGCGATGTTCGTCGACGATTGAGTCAATTTGTGCCGTCAACAGCTCAATATGCTCGTCGGCTGGATTGCATGCACGAAGGTGATCGCGTTGTTCTGCCAAACGTGCAGCCTGAGATGGAAAGTTTGGTCTACTATTCGGGATTCTTCCTGCGGGGATAAAGCGCCTTGCCGCCTGAAGGACAGTTTTCCTAAATATTGCTTCACCCCTTCTGGCACATGTGGGGGGCGGCAAGTGACGTAATGAGTCATCTATGTAGTTCGTAAAGCCGTGCCAGTCGGCTTTGTTGTAATTTACATTGTACATTTACATTGTTTTCATTGTATTTGCGTGCAATGACAAAAATTCTCATTTTTTGTTGTTTTTGAATTTTGTTCATATCTCAGTTTATTCCGGCGAGATTTTGCTG